GACGAAATCTTGCATCGTCTCTCTTTGGATCCAAATTTGGATCCAAAAACGGTGCGATACAAGATTTCACCGCCGCTCAAATTCACTGCGCTTGCCCGCACTTTCAGACCCTGCAGCACGTGCGTGTCGTGTTCGGTTTTTTTTTTTCCCCGCCGCGTGCCTAGTAGTAGTAGTAGTAGTAGTAGTACTGGTGGTGAAGGTAGAAATAATAGTAATAGTAGCAGTAGTAGTCATAGTAACGATAAAATCCTAATCCAGCTCTCAACATCCCAGCCCCTACACCCACCGACCCCTTGATCCCCAACTCTTGTGGGCCATAATCTAAATTCTTCGAATGGTGTTATATACGGGATTATACAGGGACGATAAGAATAGGGGATTAAATGGGATTATAGGTAAGATTAAGTAGGGGATTATATAGGGTACTATTATAGGGCTTCTTAAGGGGGCTACTTGGAGTTTTGACTATAGCTCTTATGAAGAGTCCAGATCCCAGATCCTAAGCACTGAGCCAAGCCTACTGAAGATCAGCATGAAAGTCCTGCGCCATGGAAGGTGCAGACATTCAAAATCCTGGGAGCCATGGCGCCGTCCCAAGGGTTAAGGGGGGGCTTTGGGATTGAGACTTGAGGGCTGTAAGGCTCTAGGGCGTTGAGCCTGGGGATTGGACAGGGGCCTCTCTAAATAGGCTTTAAGGTTTAGGTTTTAGGATGGGATTCTTCGGAGCTACGCAATCTGGGTTATCTAAGTTTTTGGAGGTGGGCGGTTGGCAGGAAATTCAAGCATGGCAAGGTCACAAGCAGGTCGGGACCCCGTATCCTCAATTCTATAGATCCTACGCCTACGGTTACACCCTGAATTCAGCCGCCCCCGAAACCTTGAGCCTATAAACCTTCAGCTGAAGGAGCCTAGACCCTGAATGCCCAAACCTTACGCACTAAATCAATCAATCCTTTGACCCTACATCCCTTGAGCTCCAAATCCCTACTAAACCTGAAGCTTTGTCCGCCATCCCACGGCCGTACAAGAGTTCCCAAAGTTTGCAAGTGTCATAGTAATATACCCTCAGTCAGGGTATGTTATGATTGGTGTAGGGACGTCACTCCATGGCCGCCTATGCATAGGTGAACACCTCCATGCTCCTGCTTTCGTGCTTATCCTTCACCTTGGTACGTTCCCAAGAGTCGGGGTCGGAGGGTTATAGTCCTCCTTAAGTAGATAGAATATGGCTTTTGGGTATAGTAGAATAAGATCCCCATATACCCCATATTCTATCTACTTAAGGGGGACTTTAAGGGTGTAGGAGCTGGGGAGTTGAGCTTAAAAGTCTGGATCCTTGGGGGCCTTGACGTGAGGATGGGCGTATGTTTAGGGCAAGGGACCGCCAAGTTTCAGATGGACTTCAGCATGCCGACTGCAGCCGGCAATGCACTCCCTCAATCTAACACCCAAAAGAGGCTTCATGACAAAAGATCAGTCCTTCTTGTAATCGGGTCAGAATGGGGGTTCTCTCTTAGCTTGGGGGAGGGTAAAGCCTATCTCTTCAGAGTTTAGGGTTCGGCCCTAAGCCCTAAACAGTAATTTCATGTAATTTCTATGGCCCCGGACACACATCCGCCTTTCTCTTTGTTATCCTAACGCAGGCCGCGCACAGCTTGTGCTCACTAGCTCCTCATTGGTCCCTTGAACACAACCCTATAATCCCATTCCCGCACAAACAAACATGTACCTTACCCCACCCACCTGTTGTTTGATCGTATTTCTTTGAGGGAGAGGAAGCGAGCGAGAGAGAGAGCGAGAGAGAGAGAGAGAGAGGAGATTGTGCTGGGGGTCCGCCCCTGTGGGACCTGATTGGTCTTGCAAAGCCACTAGAATGAGCAATAGAAGAAGAAGAAGAAGAAGCCTGTGCTCGCAGCCGGCAGCACGGAAGTTTCACGGCAAAGTCAAGCTGCGAGGAAAACCATATGGCAGCATATGAGTTTCCTGCCAGTTTGTTAAGAAGAGGGAGGGACGGAGGGAGGGAGGAGAGAGACCAGAGAGGGGTAGGGAGAGGTAAAAACAACCAGCCTACATCCAGAATGATATCCTGACCTCCTGGAAGACGAGGTGACTGTATTTGGTACAATGCTGGAAGACCACTACAAGTTTGACAGGACTCACCTCGAAGATGTCACTTGGATCTGTTCGCTCCGGGATGAGGGTTAAGGGGTTTAGGGTTGGAGGGCTTCAGGGAGCAGGGCTGAGGGTATGGAGATCAGAATGTGGGTGTGGGCGTTAGCAGTAGGCTTCAGGTTAAAGCAGTAGGTTCTCTCTCTTAGCATTCGCTGTAAGGACTCTGGGGATTTGTTCTGGGGGGCGGTACAGGCGTGATGGCTGCAGTTTTAAGGAAGGTTTACTGGGAGTAATCGAAAGTCGTAGTTGGTTTGGGGAAATGTGCCCAAACCCTTATCTGTCCTAAAACAAGTCAGGTTATGCTGCCCATCTCACGGACGTGCTCCATCATCATCATCTCCGCTTATGTCGCGTGCGCGGGGATGTGAATTTGAGATGGGGGCCCCTACGGGAATGCATATTTGAGGTGGGTCAAAAGGGTCGGACGTCTCAATGACCCTGGGAGGCATGGGATCATGCAGGTCCCAAATCTTTTTTGAGAAGCTCGCATATACTGCGAGAGGTCCGGAGTTGGGTCCAATTTGCTGCCTTGCCTGCAGACTGTGGTCGGCATAGCTTTTGTTCAGACTCCGCGCAGGTACATCGTTTTCCAGTTGTTCACACATCGAACTGTTCCTCGGCGGCAGCAGTTGGGTTGGGGGTTTTCAAGAACGACAGCCCCTCATCAACCCCCCAAAACCATATTCCTTGATATAGGAAGCAACCCTGATTTTGGGAAAGCTCCAGCTTGCTACGGTACTTGCCGTTTGCAAAGGTCATGGCTGAAGGGGGAGATGGAGAAGAAGAGGAAGAGGCAGCGCTTCAAGTCTAGGGCCCTAGGGCCTTGGGGGGTTGAGGCTTGGGGCTAAAGAGCTTGGGCAGCTGGGGTTCAGGGCGTTGTCAGCTCCGTGTTCGTTCGTTCACGGATGCCGCAAGAGATGGACAACTCCAGCATCCCTTTGCCAGGAGAGCTCAATATCAGTGGCTACATGCTCCGTGCGCCGTGCAAATGCCTTGCCGTTTACTGGAGCTTCCTCAAGATTCTGGCTGTAGGTACTTTTGTTCGTCATGACAGCTGTTGTGGCCTTCTGTTCTGATCTGCTGGCTGGTGCCTAAGAGGGCCATTCTAACTTCTTTGTTAAGAAGTCAGACACGCCCTGGCATACTCACACTGCAGGTAGACTCAATCGAGAGCATGACGGCAAACGCTAACATGGGCATCGCGCTCAGCATCAACACACCACCGAGTTCATCGACCACACGGCAGGAGTGTAGGATCCATACCCATAGTCAGGGCACCCTGAAAGGTTTTGAGGGATTTCTTTCATGATCCCGAGGCCTAAACTCTGTGGTATAGCTGCTCCAACCCTTCAGCAAGAAGCCATACATCGCATCACTTCCTAAATCCAAAGCCGACTAATCCTAAAGCAGCCGTGAAGGTGAACATTTTATTGGCATCATCCTCTTACCCATCGTGGGAAATGCGTGCGAGCATGCAGCGGCAGTCCGCTTTGCCATGCAGGAGAGCGCGGTTTGCTTTTGTCAAAGGGGTCAAGGTCTTTTGGGGTATACCCCTTCTTAAGTAGATAGAATATGGAATATATGGAGATCTTATTATAATATACCCAAGGCCATTATCTATCTACTTGAGGGGCCTGAAAGCCCTCTGTGGGCGCTGGGCAGATTGCAGTATTCGTGTCATGCCTAGATACAAAGGACAGAGGCCGTGGAAGATTGGCCGCCCTATAAACCGGAGGAATCAAACATGTATCCAAAACACCTGCAACCCTTACCGAAAAGGAAGAAGCTAATCATAGCCAAGGGGCCAAATTTAATCCCGACCAAGGTCTTGTAGATCCGCTGCTTTGCAAGAGATGCAGATTCCTTTTGAAAGGGGACCTCGCATCAGTTAAGTATTGCAAACAACGGCTTGCCAAATTTCCCCAAAATAGCGGCAATGTTAGCCCAATCAGCCTCAGCAGCAGCTACCTGACTGCGCGGAAAAACTAGTAGCTTCATCATCAATGGAGCGGCCCATGTGCATATATGAACCCCAGTACGCGCATGATACGCCAACTCTAGCAGCGTAACAACCGTCTGAGAGGCCCAACCCATTCGGCCAAAGTCTGTACAAAACCGGCCAAAGAAAATTGAGAAAGTAGGCCCTTGGGGCCTTAGGATTTAAGGATCAGGGTTCAGTGTTTCAAGCAGTTTCAGCGTCCAGGGGTCAATGGGGTTGGAAAGCGGAACGTGGGGTGACAGTGTTTCTGTGTGTCTCTTGGCCTGGAAGAGGTCGCATCAACAGTCCCTCGCCAACATCGTTCCTGCAAGCATCATTAAAGGTGGTTGTATACGGGATTGTATAGGGGAGTATTATAGGGGCTATTTAGGGGGATGCTAGCAGTGTAGACTATAGCTCCTTCATTTTAATGTGCATGTATTGCCCCACAGGAGTTTCGGGCAAAGTGGCTTGACCCTGCCATCTCTAAATCCACAACCCTGAGCTTGCTATCGGTACCTGAATCGCACGGCTTACGGCTTCTCGATACACTTCTACTGGGTATAGGGAAAGACACAAAAATAGAGGAACATCCAACAAATACCAATCTAATCTTTACGGCAGTACTTATCGCTTCCAAATCTATCATGCGTACCGTAGCACTAGCATTTCCCAAATCCTAGACCCTGCGCCCGAAGCCCTTCCGACCCCGAACTTACCTGATTTACCATTGGTTAGCTAGAAATAAAGGAATGGATCCGTATAGTGGTTTCCATTTTCTTTTCCATTCGTTCATTCCCAGCTAACCAAAGGTAAGTAAACCCTGCCCTACACCGCACACCCTGAAAACTGCAGGACCCTAGACCCTAAGTCATAGGAAGTTTTCCATTATCCCCAATATATCCCCTATAGAACCCCTATATACCCTGGGCAACAGCCTTCAAAACTGCAGGACAAGCCTGGTTTGTCCATAGGGATTGCGGTTGGCTCTTCAACGTTGCGTGCTCGGTGTGAGGGTTCCTGTCATTCGGTTTGAGGTAGGGTTTTGGGTTTCGGCTTTTCGGTGATGTTAAGGGTCCTTCGGAATATTGGTGCATGGTGTTTATATCTGAATGTATACATATATATGTATATATGTATATGCGAATATATATGTACATATGGGGAATCCTTTTCGCAAGACCATAACGTCAGGCCAAGTTTTGTTCGACTTACTGAGGCAGATCGCCCTCTTCGTAGTTCCTTTTTCCGTGTTGGTGGGATGGGCCATCGACAGACCGCCGCGGCCTCAAAGCAGATGGGGATCCTTCAGACCAGGTAGTACAGAATAGTAAAAATGGAAATGGTGATAATCGTCATAATCTGCAAAATGGCGAAGAACCTTGAATAAAGAGACCGTCGAGAAGGGCACATGATTTGGATCAGCCCGAAACCCTATATGCCCCCACAATCCTTTCTCCTTTTGCAGCCTGGGCTGCAAACAGCTCAAACCCTAAAAAACACAAAAAAACCCTAAACCCCTAAACCCTAAACCCTAAAACCCCCCCAAGCTCCTAAAGCTTGCGCTGTTCCAGGATGGATCTCAACTTTGGGGCGCTCAATGTCACTGCGCCGTGCTCGGCCGTTGGTGTATTGTGGGAGCCCACATAATAGGAACAGTATTTAGGGTTTAGGGTTTAGGGTTTAGGACACACATAATAGGAACAGTATTTAGGGTTTAGGGTTTAGGGCACACATAATAGGAACAGTATTTTAGGGTTTAGGGCACACATAATAGGAACAGTATTTATGGTTTAGGGTTTAGGG